TACCATGCCGCTAACGGGACCATGTTGCTAAGAGAACCTCACTGTCAGCAGAATCACACTGCCAACAGTAACATGCTACTAACAGTACATTGTGCTAACAGTACCACACTGCTAACAATACGATGCTGCTAACAATACCACACTGCTAACAGTACGATGCTGTTAACGGGACCATGTTGCCAAGAGAACCTCACTGTAATAGGACTATGCTGCCAAAAAAAAAAACACACTGTAATAGGACTATGCTGCTAACAGAACCACACTGCTAACAGTACCATGCTGCTAATGGGACCATGTTGCTAACAGTACCATGCTGCTAACAGTACCATGCTGCTAAGGGGACCATGTTGCTAACATAACTACACTGCTAACAGTACCATGCTACTAACAGTGCCATGCTACTAACAGTGCCATGCTACTAACAGTACCATGCTACTAACGGGACCATGCTACCAACAGTATCATGCTGCCAACAGTACCATGCTGCTAACAGTACCATGCTGCTAACAGTACCATGCTGCTAACAGTACCATGCTGCTAAGGGGACCATGTTGCTAAGATAACTACACTGCTAACAGTACCATGCTACTAACAGTGCCATGCTACTAACAGTGCCATGCTACTAACAGTACCATGCTACTAACGGGACCATGCTACTAACAGTGCCATGCTACTAACAGTACCATGCTACCAACAGTATCATGCTGCTAACAGTACCATGCTGCTAAGGGGACCATGTTGCTAACATAACTACACTGCTAACAGTACCATGCTGCTAACAGGACCATGTTGCCAACAGTACCATGCTACTAACAGTACTATGCTGCTAACTGGACCATGTTGCTAACGGAACCTCACTGCTCACAGTACCATGTTTCTAACAGAACCTCACTGCTAACAGAACCACACTGCTAACAGAACCACACTGCTAACAGAACCACACTGCTAACGGGACCATGTTACCAACAGTGCCATGCTACTAACAGTGCCATGCTACTAACAGTGCCATGCTACTAACAGTACCATGCTACTAACGGGACCATGCTACCAACAGTATCATGCTGCCAACAGTACCATGCTGCTAACAGGACCATGCTGCTAACAGAACTTGGCTGCTAACAGAACCTCGCTGCTAACAGAATCTCGCTGCTAACAGAACCAAGCTGCTAACAGAACCACACTGCTAACAGTTCTATGCTGCTAACAGGACCATGTTGCTAAGAGAAACTCACTGCTAAAACAACCTCAATGCTAACGGAACCTCACTGCTAACAAAACCTCACTGCTAACAGAACCTCACTGCTAACAGAGCCACGCTGCTAACAGTACCATGCTGCCAACAGAACCTCACTGCTAACAGAACCACGCTGCTAACAGAACCACGCTGCTAACAGAACCATACTGCTAACAGAACCATACTGCTAACAGCAACATGGTCCTGTTAGCATTGTGGTTCTAAGAGAACCTCACCACCAACAGAACCACTAATAGGACCAAGCTGTTCTAGATGTATTCATTTTCTTTTTCACTTTTGGTGCCTTGTTTTTGTATTTTTGTCACATGCTTTGATATTCCTTGTTGTTTTTGGGGGTGAGTCGAGACAGTTCTTCTCCTCCTGAGCATTTCATTGCACTGTTGACCTTGTGTTGACCTGCATACGACAATAAATCGAAAACAAAACCTAAAATGATTCACAAAACAGGTCAGTAGTATTGTTGAAAGATAACACGAATAAGACATTTCAGTGACGGAGTTAAGAGTCCAGACCTCAGCCTGATTAAAAGAAACCCAGACGTTATTAAAATCTGCAACCCCCAATAAACAAAGGAACATTGAGAAAAGAAAATGAAATCAATTTACAATAATCATTGGACCAAAAAAAATGTATACAGATCGGTTATTTTAGGACATTACTGATAAATATGTGCAGTCTTACCAAGACCTTTGGGTACAATTCCACTGCGATCCTGAGGGCTGACCACCCAGTAGTAGTATTTAAGTGTGTGCATGATTTGGAGAACTGTGCCAACCCTGCGAACAGCGTTGTAGATGGTCACTGTGCTGATGAATTCAGTTGCCAAGTAGGTGTAGAGTGTCAGCTGCACCTGCACAGGTAAATGCAAACACGTTAGTCCACAAGTTCGGATTTGAGTGGAATAAAAGTGGTCTTTGTTGTTATTTTTGTTCTTAAGAGGAAAAAGTGGATACCACCGATATGCACATATCTGGAGGGATGATTACATGCTTTCTTTTGAAGCCTTAATTATGAATCATAATGCTAAACATGAAATAAAACTTGATTTTGACTTAATACAATTTCAAACTTTCTTTAAAGGTTGAAAAACAATAATTTCCAGGATCTATCTAAAAGTGCAAATTAATCCATCTTTCTAAAAATCAAGACTGGGGATTTACACTACCTTGGTTGGAGCATGAATCCAGATGGCGGGGTTGAACAGAATGTGGTCACAAAGCTGCTTGAGCAACAAGATGCCATTCTGCAAGTTGCTAAGGTATCTGGAAAAGGCTAGAACAATGTCCAGGACAGGCCGCGTCACATGCAGCTTGGAAGACTGGAACACAGGGGAGGAGAAAATGTCATGTACAAGGAAGACAAAGGATAAATAATGTCCATTTTCAAGTGAAGGACATAAAAGGAAAGAAGAGGAAGGGCTCCTCTTCTGATTAACATGCGCACAAGCCAGAGGTGACCTCCATACTGGTTCAGAGGGAGTGTTGCTGTTCGTGGATTTCCAGCAGAGCAGAAACAGTCTTATTTCTAAGCAGGGTTCACAATTTCTGCCTCACCTTCTCCAAAGTGTAGCCAATGACGAGAAATCCTTTGCAGGCCAAGACCTGCTCCTGCATTGCCACAGAGTTCTTCAAGAGCTCCATCACAAAGGACAGCAAAGTGCAGCTGTCGAGGGAGAGACAAACAGCAAGTTAGACGTGACGATATTCAGTGTGAGCTGCTGACAAAGCCCTCACTATTAAAGCTATATTCAGTATGAAGTGTGACTGAATGAGGGTGTTGTGTCCCTAAATAGCTGATCAAGCAGATTTTAGTTAGCATCACCTTAAGGGAAGCTGATACAACTACACTGCCCTTCAAAGTTAAGATGGCGTCAAAGTATCATTTTATGTCACCAAAATTTACAGTCTTATGTTTTGAAGGATGTGAGCAGTTTAAAAAATACATGAAGTATACATATATCCCAAATGTAGCTTTTAACACTTCCAAAGAATCTCAATAAACATTTTATTTGTAAGACAAGTTACAAAATTAAAACAAAAAACTTAGATTAAGACATTTCTTCACTTAAATGAACAAACTCTGTATTTTAACAATTTGTAATTTTCAAAGTTGTTCAAGACAAAATTTACAAAAAGGTTGTTGGGCATACAACCATTCAACCAGCACATTGAACGCTGAACTAAATGTCATGGAGAGTTTACTGTCAGCGTACGCCCACATTATTTGGCATTACCACACGGAGGTGTCCAGCTCTTGGCTGGAGGGCTGGCAATAATCCAGCTGTGCAAACAGAGGGAAGAGGACCTGAACGCCTCCAATGGAGTGGATGCCACTCTGGACTGAGTGAGTCACGACAGCCTTCACATCCTACAGAAACACACAAATACAAAAACGTGTTGTTCTTTTCTATTGTCCGTTTTATTCAATAATTTTCTACTTGGTTAAAAAACAAAAATCGGATACATATTTATACGGACAAAATAAAGTGTAATAATTAAATTCTACAAACTGATGTCAAAAATTATATATTTAAAGTAAAATGAACATGGTGAACAACAGTTGTGCTTTATTCATCCTTGGCAGCATTTTACTGTTGTTTTTATACAGTTTCTTTAATAAAACTCCACTCAACATGTTTAAAAAAAAAAACAATTCAAGATTGAATAGTGTTTTAAAATGTTAATAACTGTTCATAAATAATATAAGTTAAGCAAAATTGAATAGTCTGTCATACATTGTAAAACCAACAATGGATTTTTAAAAACTTTATTCCTGGAGGCTCTACTGTATAAATGATTATGGTACAACTTCCTGTCAGACAGGTAGTAGCAGTAAGCATTGGTTAATTATGGCAGCGGAGCACAGACTGCAGTTTATTTGAAAGTAATTTGGATTCAGTTTAGCAGATATAAACAGAACAAAAACAGTGTTTTATTTGATTAACAACCATAAAGTTTACTAAAATAGCCGTGCTGAGTTCAGGAACCTGCTGTGTTCACAGCTACATGAACAACCAGACCAAACTAAATCAGTGACTACAACTAGACAGTTTTGAACACAGACCCAAAACAAAAAGAGTGTTCCTGTGAAAAGCGGTACAGTTTCCAGCTCCTGCCTACAGATGAGTAATTTAGAAGAATGTGGCTGAAAAATCTAAGAGACCACCCAAAACACTGTACGTGAGCTCATTTCACTTTGTTGACAAACGACTGAAGGGGGAAAACCTGCATCCTACTTTGTGTCTGGACTACAATAAACCACCAGAAGAGACGCCGGATCCTCAGAAGGATTGATAACAGTGACAAGAATATCAGGTCTGATTTCAAGTGTATGAAGCAGCATCATTGTATTTGTTCATCTTCTATATTACGATTTTCTCTGCAATGAACCCAAGCTCAGTGATGGAGGACTTTAAGTGTTTGGCTGGGCTCTGTGTCTGCTTTAAGGTAAATAAGATCGTGTCCCACCTCTTAACAAAACACCACCGACCTTATTACTGTGTAGACAACAATACACCTCAGAGCTTTTCAGGTTGTTCATCACTTCACCGTCAGAAGAACAAGAGTCAGTGAAGTAGCTAAATATGCTAGTAGATGTAATGTGCAGCCATTTCTTCAGCTCTTCCTCCATCCCTCATCCTCAGTACGCAGCAGTATGATTATATTGTCCTGTTGCAGCTCTGACAGGTGGTGTTCCTACATGTTTAAATTAAACCTACAATGCTCGGAGAAACATTAGCTCGTACTGTTCGCACATAAACGATGGTTCTGGTCCGCGCTGGAAGTTGCACCCAAAATTCACAAAAGGCGCCGTGAGGGCTAGGAATAAGGTGGATAGGATAAAAATGTATGAACAAGGCCAAGCAAAGCTGTAAATATAAGTCACATATTCATTCATATTTCACAATATGTGTAAATATTTTTCTGGTAGTAGCCTTCCTCTCAAGCAGAAGTTTGTTTCAAGGACACAAGACTGATAAAACAATGAGACTTGGTTAAAAACTGCTTTGTGTGTTTTAAGTGTGTGTATTTTGTTAATACACTGTTTATGTGGTGTGTGGAGAATTTCAGAGCAAAGTCTGAGGAGTTTCTTGAAAAGTTCACCAGCTACTACATGTTTTACCCCTATTCAAATAAAAACACCAGCTAATAAATATGTTTAAAGAACCATACATGATGGACAGAGGAAAAAACGGAGAGGGTGTCCATTCTTCAACATTGTTGCTGAATGACGTCAGGTTCACATGAAAAAAATGGCATACATGTGAAATACAAACCCCAACACAGACGGGAATGGTTCCTTTGTGATAAACAAGCAAAAATTGAAGGTGTATGATTACCTGCAGCATGAGAGCATGAGGTGAATGAACAAAAATTGAGGCATTGTCCTTGGGAGAGGACTCAAGGCAGAGCTGGGCATCTGTGGCGCGAGGGTTGTAGGTCAAGGCAATGCACGAGGACAGCTTGCCGTCGTAGAGCAAGGTCTTATGATGCTCGGCAAACAGCAAGTCGCTCTCAGCTCTGTACTTGAACGTGCCCTGTGCAATGACACAAAGAGAGAGGGGAAAACTCTGTCAAAGAGCAAAAAGTAAAAAAAAAAAAACTACTGTCCAAAATAAAGCTGACAATTAAAGACTTACAAAAAATAAACATGAATGCAATAATGAAAAGTCAATGTTTACTCTGAAAGAGCAAAGGTTTGATCTATAAATGTTTACACAAAACATTGGCCGTTCAAAAATACATAGCTACTCCTCTTTTAGTTTCCACAAGAAGGACAGCATTCCACTTAATCAGCGTCTATAGAAAGATGAATAACTTTTATACTACCGAGAAGATCTTTGACCATTAATTAGCATTTGACTGACAGTCTAATCTGCATCTACACCTTGTGTCAGTTTTTGTGCTTTACAACACTTGATGAAAATGATGAGGCTTTAGCTAAATATTCCAGGAATTTGACTTCATTACTAGAACACAGTATCTGGTAAATTAATATACTTGTTAATTTTTAAGAAACAACTCCTATGACTGCTCTGGACAGCAGGTTAAAGGTCAAAGAGATACAGATTCCATTTATGGCTTTGTACAAGATCAGCTGTCAGGCCACAAAGAAGTAAAGAATGGCTCCTCGCCCACCATGCCCAGAACCATGGTGATGCATGCGCTCCGGTTATGTCTAACCTTCTAGCCTTGTTTGGACACGCAGTGAGCTCTGTTAAGGTTAAATACACCTTGCTCTAGAGAAGAGGTCACTAATAGGCGGACCTTGGTCCAGATCCGGACCAAATGATTGTTCTGTCCGGACCCGTGCCCAATCTGATAAATTCATGAAAATTGATCATTTTCATGGAGCATTCTTCCAGCGATCGACAGCTTAGGTGCAGAGCCAAGCAGAGAAGCGAGAGGTGTGTAACCACATGTGACCCTGCTACTGTGCACCCCATTTATTTTAAGTTCCATGTCATTAAAAAAATAAAATAAAATTCCCATGTCATTGCTTGTGGCGTCACGCTGCTGCTCAATGTGGTTGTGCTCCGCCTCTGCTGTTGTTACTAAACAACTTTGGCGAGTTCTACAATCAGTGAAATTTGAAACTATTCAATAATCTACTCGATGGTGAGTTGCCTTTTTGTTTTAAAATACTGTTGGACATGTTAGTAGCTGCGTTAACGCTGCAGCAAAAATCCCAGCACTTACAATGCAAGACTCCATAGAGCTAACGGCTAATTTGGCTAGCATTTTACCCTGGTCAATATGACCTTCCCAACCATGTATTTATTTAATACGCTGAATAAACAACCATACCTTTAGTAATTAAAAGACATCTTTGGTTGATTTATTTGAACTATTTTAAGGTATTTTTGTAACATTTTGATAAACTGCTCCAGCGGCGGTTTTATGCTGTTTAGTACTGGCATGGTTTGAATTAAATTATACCAGTAGCTAAACAGATATTAAATGTTCTTTTGTTTATTTTCATATGTTAATCAAAACGTGTATTCAAATATACATAATTATTGAATATTATTATTAAATATATGCATCTATATTATATTATATTATCTTCCAACTTACTGTCTCTGTTTATACTTTTTTACTTTTTTATACAAAAAAAGTCACTTTTTTTCAATGTTTCAATGTTTTTTCAATGTTTTCTAAAGATGTTAACTAAGTATTCAATTCTTTAGGAATGGACCTCTTCAATTTAAAAGAAAAAAAAACTTATTGGGCTCCGTTTGCACATTTAAGATGCTTTTTATTCTGAGCTTTCTGTTTTAATCTGAAATAAAGGCCTTAAATTTATTTGCCTGGGACTACTTTTAAATATGATAAAAGAGCTACTTGTTTACTTTAAAGTGCAGTTTGTTAACAGTGAAAATGTGAATACGGGTAGGGAAGACCAAAACAGTCAAACGGACTTTTGTTCAGACCTTTTACTAGGAGGAAATTTTAGTAACGGGACCTCAGTGCGTTTTAATTGAATGCCCCTTCTCTAGAGGGGAAAAAAAAGAAAGCCATCTTGCATCACTTGACCTTAGCTCCACCATTTCTCATTTTTATTGGTAAATATATATCTGCATTTTTCTGCCTTTAATGTTTCTTTCGACAATTTCCTAAAATTTCTCTGCCCAGTTTCAGCTACTTGAATTCAATCAACGTTAGCTGGTTTAGCTAACCATAAATCCTATTTTTTTATCATGCATTACAACTACACAAAAATCTGTCCCAAGTGTTGGTGTTTTCTAACCTGGTAGCTTGGACCCAGCTGATAGATGGCCAGTATCTGAGCAGCGCTGAGAGCTTCTGAAAACAGGTACACTGCCCCCATTTGCCCACAGAACACACGGTTCACGTCTGCCGTCTCAGATGAGCCAAGAAAACACTTGTCAAACGTCTGTAGGAGAAACATGCCAAGAGGGAGAGAGATAAAGTTTTAAAAAGTTTTTTTTTAAATGCAAGAGAGGACAAATAAAATAATGAACAAAGGCAGAAACGATGAGCAATTGACACAAAAACGCAAGAAGTATCTGAAGAGCAAGCTAACTTGAAGCAAACTGCATAACGTCAGCGATGCAACAGAAAAAATTTTATAAATTATGACATGTCAAATTAAAGACTAATTTACTTTCTGTCAACCAGTCAAGTCAAGGCAAATCAAATGTATTTATAAAGTACATTTAAAACAGCAGCTGTTACTAGAGTGCTTAACAATAACAATCAATGAGAGTAATTTATTGAAAAAAAAGTAAAAGTAATGATAGTATTGAACGAGTTCATGTTGCAGATGAGAAATGACAAAAACAGAACAAACACAATCCCAGCACACGGACGTAGACAGCAGCAATAAACTACATTACATTGGGAAACCATTTTCATAGCCAGCTCCTGAAAAAGTGTTATATTTATAAACAAAATAATCTAATTAACTTCCAACTACCAAAAACAACCTGGTCTTTCTTTAATTACACATGAGAAAATTTTACAGGATAATGCAATCAAATCTACTGACTAAAAATTAAAACTTAAACCTGTGATAAAGCTTTATCACTTGCATATTTATATAAACAAGAGCACAAAATATTCTAAAATGTTGCTGCTTACGTCGCTGGTGTTGACAAACCAGGCGATGTCTCCAAAGGAAGCCAGTTCTCCGTTCACATAGCAGCTAATCTCACTGTTTTTCCAGCGATTGTAGGTGTGTACAAGAGTCACCATGTACCACTGCAACAACAAAAAGAAGCATTACAATGGCTTTTTTTTTTTGTATTTCGGGAGACTCATTGATCTTTATGAGAACTTAATTAGCCTACATCAGTGCTTCATGCTGTCAAGGAATGAAATCCCCTACATGTCTTTAATTTACCAGAATGGTAACATTTTTATAGTACCTGAGGATGTGTTAAAAATAGAGTGGTGTTTCTCCTACCATTATTCAAGGAGGGCGCCCCGCCCTGTCGATAGACCAGAGCGCCCTGCCTACCAAATCCCCCACCCCCCATGCAGCTCCGCCGCTTCCGTTTGGGGAGCTTTAGACCACAAACCACGTGCAATACAAATGTAGCGTATGGTTGTCACGGTTACAAACTAACCCCGCCCACCAAACACCAAAGAGACAAGCACCCTCCAAAGGCAAGTAACCTAGGGGAAACACTGGAATGCAATATCAACTAAATTTTGCTTTTTCCATCTTGCTAGTAGTTGGTATATACTGTTGCCTTTCCCCTGGGGGAGAAAGAGAAAGTATTACAGTGTTTCCCCTAGTTTACTTGCCTTGGCAGGGCACTTATATCATCCGTGATTTTTGTCGACAGGGGGTGGGTGGGTAGATACGGCTCAGCTTGGGGGAAACAGGGTGTTAACTGAAGTTTTTTAGATAGCGCGTCTGTATTGCGCACCGTTAGCTTAGCGCTACGTAATTGTGGGAAGTTGGGGGGGGGGGGGGGGGAGGGAGGGTGCTTGGTTCTGTTGACAGGGCATGGCGCCCTGCTTGTATAACGGTAGGGGAAACACTGTTAAACTGCCCGCAGACAGGAAGACCTCTCTGAATCAATGGGTCTTCCAAAGGTGAGGAAACTAAAGGGGACAGTTTTAGATAAGTTCCTTCCCAACAAAATCCAATTTCTCCATTTTGTAGCTCTACTTTCCTCTAACATCGGACAAGATCAGACACTTATCTGATCTATTTATAAGGTTTAGTGTTTTTGTGTGCATGAGTGTGTGATGTCACTGCTTCCTTTCGTACCTTCTGTGGTTTGAAGTCGTACTTTATACAGTGCTGGAAACCTTTGCCCTTTGATTTTAATGAGGTCACTATCAAACAGCCGCCCACAAAGTGCGCAGAGTAACCCATGCCTTTATTGGTACGGAAACTGGAAGAAAACAATGAAATAAAAATACAAATGTTCAGATTCAGTCGCTGTGAGAGCTTTTGCATGTTCATGCTGAATGCATTCAAGTGGAACACTAATAGTGCCCAATAAATAATAGACTTTACAAGGATTGTCAGAATGATTAGGATAGCCTATGGTCATCTCTTTAACTTCATGGACACCTCTACGCATACTCTGTGATTTAGCCAATTAATCCATTTGAAATAAGGGGCACAGGGCTGAAGAAGAGTTTTAATTAGGTTTTCTCAGATCTTAAGCTGGCACGCTTAGTTATTTTTACAGAGGCTCAAATAGATCTTTGGTATAAAATGTGAATTTTGGTTCAGTACTAATCATAAAACAATCGAAAAGTAGAATCAAAGGAGATGCCACAATTGTTTTTCATCTGTGTTACTGGATGCTGCATTTGGGTGGTACAGTGCTGGTGTCAAATATATTGTTAAACTTTCTCTGTTGAATTACGACTGTTTGACACTTTTCATGCAATTCCTCTCTATGTTTTCTTGCTGTATACATGTACACCCTTACCATAAGAAAAGACAGTTAGATGTATGATGAAACTCAGATAATCTAACATTTAAATAGCAGACAATAAGCAGAACTCAAATTCACATAATCAAAGCCAGTACTTGTTGTTCCAGTGATGCCTACCAGTATAAATAAGGCTTGTCTTTGTCTGCATTGATGTTGTTGAGAGGGTCCATTCGGAGCCACGTGTGGAATGTAAATCCATTCTGGTATGGCCATCTTGCAATCGGGGGCAGAGCTATTGCCTGTGGAGCAAAACAACCGAATAAAACAATGACACAGAGAGGCAGCAACATGTGGAATATCAACGCAAGATTTTTGAAAAACCATTTGCTTATAGAGACAAGACAATGTCAATAGCAAACAGAATAAGAAGTGACCTAAAAAGAGTTAATGCATTTATAATTGTCAGAGTCTGTGGGCCTCTAAATTTTGTACGTTCGTTATCATGGCAATTCAGACAGGAAGCTGCAACAACTTATTGCTGAGCTTTACAAATAATAAAAACTGAGTTCTGATCATTCACGTCACCTAATCTCACAATACAGCATTCTTAAATTATCTTAGCAGCAAAAGAAACCACTTGAACACAGACGGGTTCAAAGGGTCTAACTAGATATTATAGTGGGGAAAAGGTTTACACACGGGGAGAAATAGCTTCCTGTACGATGCCCACTGTTGAGAGGTCACAGTGATACCAAGCACAATCTGTCAAACAAAGATAAAGTGCACAAACTGCCAAATGATGTGTCCCAAAGACTTCATTACTAATAACATAAAACAACTTGTACATTAGTATGTGACAAACTTTTCTTGAGATGAATACAGAGCTATACCACAATCTACCTTGTGGCAGGAAGAGGAAAACGCAACAGTGCAATGTCAGTGTATGTGGCACCATCAACAGAACAGTGTTTCTGTAATGTTTCACAGCATTGAAACTAAAACTAAATACAAGCATAAAAACAAAGAGCATACGAATGAAAACTTTTTTTTTTTATGTCAAAAATATACCATTTACTGTTCTAATAGGAAAAAAAAAACCCTAACACGAATTGCTGGGTTAAACCAGGACTGGCACTGAATGTGTTCAACCTGGACGGTAATGGCACAGAATAATGAGGAAAATGTTTAGAACGTTTTCAAGGCAAGATATAACTAAAGATGTCCAAAATGTGACTGTAGAAGTGAACAAAAATAATCTCAATGAGATAAATGCAGTCAGACACAAATGATTATTTAAAAGATTTGATAATGATATAATCAGAAAGCAGGCTCCAGGACACTTAATTTTTTTTGACACTTCAAAAGATTTTCCTCAAGCTAATAGAAGTCTTGAAAGGGGTCTCAGATCTTACTGCAGCTTAAAAGCACTTAGAATGATGGGGATTCAGACAGATGAGCACTATTTTTTTCCATACTGTTCATTAGTGGGAAATATGTCTATGTGGTGAGAAGGCAGGACTTGTCCCCAAAATTATGGAGGGTACATGTCCTGAAGAATACTCAATAATCCAGGTAGATACATCTAACAAGGTTGAGTCCATTCCTGCGACTCTATCCAGAGGACCTGACTCAACCTTGTTGTTAGGTATGGAGGGTACAGTAAGTTCATGGAGAAAATTTGACCAGCACTGCCAGGCTGCTGCCAATTTAAAGTTTTAATTTGACAGGACTTTGTATTTTAGTTTGCTCTCAGCTACCACTATACCAAATTTCAGCTGAATAGTTCTAAAAATGGCGGAGTTGTATTTTTCCTGTTTTAGCTAAGGTGGCCATCTTGGATTTTTGATTTGGATTCAGTATGTGATGGGGAACATTCTCAGCTATAACCTCACCAAATTTCAGCTCAGTGTGTGTAAAAATGGCTGAGTTAAATACATTTAAATGTAGCTTTGGTGGCCATCTTGGATTTTGATTTGGATGCAGTATTTGATGGGAAGCGTTCTCAGCCATCACCACCAAATTTCAGCTCAATATCATTAAAATTGGCAGATGGTATATTTCTTTTATAGCTCAAGCAGCCATCTTGGACTTTTGATTTGCAGTCAGAGTCTATTAGAGATCATTCTCAGGTACCAACACACCAAATTTCAGCTGAACAGCTCTAAAAACGGCTGAGTTATCATATTTTTCCCCTTTTAGCTAAGGTGGCCATTTTGTAGATTTGATTTGATTTGCATTAGCTGTTTCCCCTACCATTATACAAGCAGGGCGCCCCGCCCCATCAACAGAACCGAGCGCCTCGCCTACTGAACCAAACTGCATGCAGACCTAACTAGCACCGACATAGCGCTAAGCTAGTGGCACGCAATACAGGCAAGTAAGCTAAAAGTTAAAGGCAGCGCTCACCTGCCTCTTGCTTCACAGTGAACCCTCATGCTGACACCCCCCTACTTGAAAACTGTTGGTACAAACACCGCACAGCTCAGCTGTGTCTCTGCATGATATAACATTTGTGGGGGTACACATTGCGGTTCAGGCTGCATTAAAGTTGACGGAAGAGTAAGATATAAATAAATTTAAGAAACCTTTTGTTAGGTGGATAAAAATAGGTACTGCCTTATACTAGGCAGTCCCCAATTAACTTAAACAGTGAACGCTCACTATTGATGGATATACAGTATAGTTAGGTAGTGAAAGTATAAATCATGTCGTCTGTCAATGAAGAGTAGACACTGATCTTAATATTTATGTCAAAAAAGCTCATTATGTATTTGTAATTGTCAATGAAGAAGATTTGTGGAATCATTTAGAATACTCACAGCTGCATTTTTCCCTGGAAAGCTGAAGAATGAGTCAGGGCCATTTCTGTGTGCCATGTACTTGAGAACCGACAAAAGCTTCACTGCGTGACGTGGCTGAGGATGAAAAAAATACACAGAAAATAACATTTTTAAGCTGTGTATTATGCTCACTGCTTATAAATATATTTTAAATATCAGCTCTTCATACATGTTCCTCGTGCATGCAAAAATCAAACTATTGAGAGCTACAAATTATTGCTATTAAATTAATATGTACCATACTACAACTTACCGGTTCTAAAATATTTTTTACAACTTAATCAGTTTTAGAGCCCAAAGCAAATCACATTATAACTGATGTACTTTTTTCCTCCTTTGGTAAATTGAATATTTAAAAGCCTAAAAATAAACCTGCTCTATTTTGAGACTAAATTAGTGTTAGAGATCAGTGTGCTACAGACGTTCTTTTCCTTGCTTTCTTTGTCAAACTTTAAGCACGTTTTGGAATTGAATCTTTATAGTCAAGGAGGAGGAGAAGAATGTTACAACTTTAAGTTCATAACTTGTATAGATGCTTACAAACAACTTAATTCATATAATGCAATGTTTCTCAGGATCTTAAAGTTGTAATCTTTGGTGTCACATGATTTGGCTCAATGCAAACAAGGGTACAACCCGAGGAACAGCAGCAGTTTAGGTGTTAGACATTACACGTCCGAATCCCTGCTACCAAAATGGATCATTGTATGATGACTGTGACTCACCCACTGGGTTTTTTCCCCTTGTAGCTTGCTGAAGAAAAGCTTCAGTTCTTTCACTGTGATGCTGTAGCTGGCAAGTACACCCAACATGTCCACCAACAGGTCTGTAAAATGCATATGAACATACACAGCAAAACTGACATATTACACAGAGAATATTGGCAAGACTGACAGGACTGATAGAACCAATAGTGAATTAAAGTAATTTAATTATCCAGACATATGAAGGAGTTACAGTAAAACGTGCTACTTATATACAATTAATTCAGCTGCAAACTGTGTTGAAATATTTCAGTAAATGGTAAATGGACTGTACTTTTCGATCCAATCAAGATACTCAAAGCTCTTTACAACACAATCTGTGCCTCATTTACACATTCATACAGCACTCTACTAGATATATACAAAGACTAATAAGTGCTTTATCACATTCATACACTGATGGTACACGCATCGGAGGCAATGAGGGGTTCAGTATCTTGTCCAGGAACACTTAGGCTTGTGGCTGCTGGTGGGATCAAACCCCAACTCTTGTATTGGAGGACGACTTATCTAACCACTCAGCCACAGTCACCTTAATTGCCAAAACATTTGCACATGTATAAAGATGATGGCTGATGGATTATGCCTGCAGGAAATATTCTTCTTAAAGCTCTTTAAGATTTGCTTCCAAATACAAATATAACACTTATATTTATTTTATAAGTATAATAATATTTCTATAAGAATGATTTAAACTTCGCAGTCACTGCTGGACTGTGTCAGTTTGTCAGTTGTACTTGCACAAGTGCTCAAGGCCTGTGCTGTTCTAGATGAAAAAGTTCACTGAGCTGAGAAATAATTCATCACAATTTGCAGATGAGCAACGTACTGCTGAGACTTTAGACTGAGAATTTACAGAATAATTCAGTCAGTGATGCACAACTAAAATAATACATGTACATTCTTTGGTGATCCACCTCCACAAAAATCTCACGCTCCATTCTTCTCTCTTTTATGAACAAAACCCTGATATTTGACTTCATCCACTTGAGGCAGCACTTCAAACCAGGAGACGGCAATCCTTCTTAGAGGACCATGGCCTCAGATTTGGAGAGGCTGATCCTCATTCTAGTTGCTTCAAACTCATTTGCTCCCTTTTATCATGAGCTGAATTACTTTTTCTATGTACATGATAAGCACATAGAATGGCACAGTCCATGGCACTATGCACATGACTTGTATGGCCCCTCCTGCAGGTGGTGGACATAGAGGAAGGCAAACCCATGTAACATTCAGGCTGAGTCTGACATGGCCCCGTGGGTAGAGGCAGAGTCACTAGGTGCTCACCAACGAGCCCCTAACGCCCTAAGTCTGGTTCCACAGTGAGGCCCCAGTAACCCACATCCAGGCGAGGGACATTAAGTTTCTTGTTGTCATCCATCTATACAAGTATTCTGAATGCTAGCCTATTGACTTTCAACTTTTGTTAGCTGAAACTATTTTCAACCTGCACTTGTTTTCAACTATCCTGTCTTTTGTAAAAAGTTTAGCATACATTTAAAAATAAAATAATGTTTTTAGTTATGTCTAAGGGTGAGTCACGTCCATTTGACGGGTTTATCTGTTGAAATGTTTAGTCTTTTATCCATAAAACTTGTTCAGTCTGAGGAGCTGCAACAAACTGTTTTATGAATCGAGAAAGTGTTTTATATCAGTTGTGAAACTCGGTGACACATACAGTGCATTTCTTCCTATGGCTTAACATTTCGTCCATCATCAGAATTTGATTCTGAAACCAATGTTTCCTGACATTTCGTCTTAGATAAAATCCCCTTTTTTCACCCACATTGTAAGGGAACCTAGTAGGGTTTGTGATTTCATTTTTGTCCTGTGAAGGTGACATCACTAGAGCAGAGCCACTTCCTGCTACACTGAAGTCTAAATACTGTGTTGGTAGCAGGGCAGAGCAATGGGATACAAAAATCTAAATGGGTGTTTTTAAACAGAAATTATAAACTGCATGTATTTCTTACAAATATTTACTATTTTTAAAAAATTCTGATATCGGTATATTTTATATCAGTCTTTTGCATTTACCTACTAGATTGTGTTAACTTGAGTCTGAAACACTGGTTTGTTTCCCAACAAAAGAAATTCCCCTGGGAAATTTTGTGGAAAGTTCTTCTGTTCTGTTCTACGTTATGGATTGTACCTGTACATGTAAAGTGAGAGCTGTACTCAATATTAGGCAAGACCTTTTCTGTGTTGGTGGTGTCCGGAGGCTTATTGAGGACATCATCACCAGAAGTAGCTGAAAGAAATTGGTAAAAGTAGGTAGACTGGGCCTGGCTACTCCATTGTTGCATTCGGGCCTAAAAATCTGGCCCAGCCCAACTCATAGGTTTGTTTTTTACGAGCCCAACCTGAACCCGACGGATTAACTGTAATTACAGACCCGAACCAGGAAAAAAATAAACAAACATTTTAAAAAAATAAATGAATTAAAACTGGCTCCGCTCTGTCCTGGTTGCAGTCTTACCTCACAGACAGACAGGCAACAGTTTATTCACATCAACTGCTGCTCCTCCTCCATAACCACTCTATCCCAGGGTGTTCACCAAGGTTCAGTGCTTGGTCCTCTCCTTTTCATCCTTTACATCCTCCCCCTTGGTAATACCATCCGTCATCATGGCCTCCATTTTCACTGCTATGCTGATGACATACAAAATTTACATTTCTACTACATCCATAAACCCCAACATCCACTCCACCCTCACCCATTTCTTAACGGACATCAAAATCTGGATGAAGCACAATTTTCTCAAATTAAATAGTGACAAAACTGACACACTCGTCATTGGTCCAAACAGTGTTACCAAGTCCACTCAAAACTTCTGCCTCAACTTTGACAACATCACTCTCACTCCATCACCACTCATTCATAAATTTGGTATTCTTCTCGACTCCACGCTTTCATTCAAATCGCATGTCAAACATAACTCTGATTGCATTCTTCCATCTCAAAAACATAGTATGTCACCGCCCATCATTCACTTTCTCCACTGCTGAAATCCTAATCCATGCCTTTGTCACATCCAGAATGGACTATTGCAATAGCATTTTGTACGGTACACCATCCAAACTCTCAACAAAATATATTCAAAACTTTGCTGCCCAACTCCTCACCCACACCCACTCCTGCAAACATATCACTCCTGTCCTGCAGAAACTCCATTGGCTCCCCATCACTCAGCGCATCCATTTCAAGATCCTTTTAATCACATTCAAAGCCCTCCATGATCTGGCCCCTCCATGATCTGGCCCCTCCATAATCTGGCCCCTCCATAATCTGGCCCCTCCAT